TTTACAACATTTCAATATCTGACACACTAAGGCAAAGAGGAAAGCTCAAGATGTAAAATCATCACACATGTTGTTCCTTAAGCAGTCAGATTTATGCCTAATTTTGTGTAATAAGCTGTCTTCAAATGTTATTGTTTGCCAGTTATTAAGGGCTAGGCTGGAAATGCCACCATTGTGATGGGCAAAAAATCCTTGTGCAATACCCTTGTGTATTTTGGTATGGGCATAAAAAGTTGTTCTACAATTATTCAATATTAGCTTGTGAGTGGGAGGATAGTTCTAGAAGTCTAGCAAAGGTACGGGGGAATCCTGAGCAATCTGCACCAGATGTCTCTTTGGCTCAAACTGAGAAGAAACCCACTTTGTTATGTTATATGCAGTAAGCAATGCTTTTAACTAACACCTTCCGCTAGGACCAAATTCAAAATTTTACAAACATAGCTTTTTCTTAAATTTCTTCTTTTTGAAGCACTCCATTCTTAATGGAAGTAAAATATGCTTCAGATGGACATATTTTGATTTTATTAATATGTCGATATTGTTCTAGTCCTTGACTGGAAATTGAATTAATCCTAATATGGTCAAGATCAAAAACATGTAGGGTTTACCGTGACCTAATTTTGCCAACATTGGATGAAGACGTGTGATCTGTGTTAAATCTTTTGTCCATAGACTAAATGTTTGCTATTTATCATACTGTAAGATTTTTTCCTTTTTCCTTTTCCATCCCTCCTTACATGGAAATCACTGAAATCAGTAAATATAGCACACCTTGAAAAATGCACCTGTCCTGTGTTGAAGATACTATTTCAAGTTTAGACTTAAAATACCATTTTACAGAAACACATGAATTTTAAACCTGTGAATTCTGGGATGTGTCAGTTATCTAGTGTATTATGTAGTTACCGGATGATTTTGGGCACCACATTGTGTTCAAATACGTTAGATGGACATTCTTACCTGACATATTCTCTTGCCCGTTTTCTTGTTATCACTTATGCTGAGAAAAGTTGACTTATGTGGAGAATTTTGATCAGTGCTGAATGATTGCTTAGCTAGATTTTGCAAAATGAAAACATTTGAGTTAATCTTGGCTAGGCACTTTACTTGTCTTTACCTTTTCTTCCATGCTCTTGGAAAAAGCATGAAAAATACCTTTAATAGCATCCTTTCTTTCCTTGCTTCAGGTCAAATGAGCTGGGCTTCCTTGTTCTGTAAAAGGTGGCTTCATAAAGGTCCTCAAGTATAGGATCACTTTCATTGTTGAATCCTCTCATATTCAAAAGAACCAGGTTTTCCTTTCCTAACCATGAGTTTATTTTCTTGTTCTGTGATAAGAAGCATGGTGGTCCTTTTCCATCCTGGACTTCAGATTTCTAGTGAGAGTACCTTACGCATTAAAGCAGAAGGACCAACAAACAACTTGTAGAGATGATACACCTCTTCTCTCAGACACGTAATCCACTAGTCTCTTTTCAGAGGATACCTGGGCCATAAGGATATATTTCCTTTAGGAGTGTATCTGCATGCTACTTCTGAATGTCAATGCAAATTAACTTTTGATAGCCAGGCCTGCATCTGATGTATGTGAAAATTGCACTTTTGATCATGCTGTGGGTGAGGTGCTGGGACATAGACGTGACATGCATTGGTCTGCAAAAGATTGTAAGGTCCACCAAGCAAACTAAACTCATTTATAAACTTGCTTCAACCTTTATTTGATTTTCAACAAACGGAACGCTGCAGTACCAACTTCGCTTAAAATACAGTTGAGTCACCTTTCTAGAGAAAATATGATAGAAATGCTTCCCTTCCTCCGTTGTTTTTTGATCTGTCTAGTTTGCCATGAATGTGAGGTCAATATTACCTGTTCATATGGTTGGAATAAAAAAGAAAGCTACAAACAGTAGATAGATATGAGTAAAAATACCTGTTCTGATTGCACAGCTATAAAATTCCTTCTGAAGCCTTTTCAATATTTCATTTTAGCTACATTTTATTTGCAGATTATCCACAAATTTATCTAGAATCACAGAATGCATTTGATTTTGTTTCTTGTAGATAATTGTATACGCAACTGATTTAGAATTTTTTAGCTGAGTTCTGCTGTTATTGGATAAAGTATTTACACTGCACTGGCCTACAGTTTTTCCATTTACCCATTTAATCCTTGAATGCCTTTCAGTTTGTGCCTTTCTTCTGAAACCTCAGCCACTCTTTTTAATCATTTCTGATTTCAGAAAAAGATGGGTCTGAGAAAGTCATCCTTGCTGGGTTTCTTAGAGTGACAGTTCACATAATACATTGCAAATATATTAGCTATTTAGTGACCCCAATACTATAGCTGTAGGGCCAAATAGAACCAAAAATGTTAGGGATACCTTTTATTGTTTATTCTTATTCTACATTTTAATTACCCACAAAACTGACAATATAAAATATGCTATTAGTTGGACAGATCCTTATTGTTGCAAAGGCTGTCATTCTGCCTCTGCTCCATAAATGTACATCATTTGCATGGAGTTTAAACTTGTCTCATCTTCATTACGGACGTTACAGTCTTTTGGGCAAGAAAAAGAAGTGTGGATGTGGTGCCTAGGCAGGCATCAGAGATACAGAGGCTGGATTTGGAGGTTCTTTCATTAGCAATGAAGCGATATTGTGCTGGACCATGTACGCATCCAGACGAGGGAGAGGATAGGTTATCAGGAGGAAGAACATACAGTCATTGCTACTTGCTCCACAGATTAGCCTTATCTTCTTGTTTCCGACCTAAACAATAGAGTTAGTGTTCCTTGCTGAGAGCCAGCTGAGGCTGAAAAACCCTGCATTGAGCCTGATGGATATGCTTCATGTAGTGTAAGAGGATGTTGCTTTCTTGAGAACAAACTCACATAAAATTACTAAGCTGCTCTTATATTGTAGTCTTCAAAGGTGAAAATGCTATGTTATATAGTATTAATTCTTCATTGCAGAAATGTATTCTAGAAATTCAAGTTTTAAATTCAAAAAATTTTACAAGATGCTTTTTTTCATCTCACTTTTAACTTAGACCAAGTTTTAAGAAAAATGCAAAGTGGTTTTCAGAAACAGTTGAAGATAAGAAAGCCTGCCTTTTCTAAAGGCAACTAAATAAATTCAGCTCTGTACCTGGTCTGTCCAAGATGTTGTTGTCCTTTGTGATGTCTGATGCTTTAACGAATACAAATGAATGGAATGAAAAAAATCTTTAATGTTTGAGAGTTGCAAAAGTGAAGGTACAGTTTTTGTCCCATGTCACCTCTCTGTCTGTGCTTACAAAACCTCTGTCACTCCTACTGTGTTGACAGGGGTGCTGCTACTGCTAGGATGTGATAGCATCTTCGTTTCCTGTAATTTTCAGCATCACTAGCAAACGCTGCCTCCAATGGCAATAGTAATGCTGTGCTGATTGTATACTGCTGTGTGTGATGACTATTTGTCACCACCACCTCCTATGCAGTCCACAGTCCTTAGTTACCACGCTTGCTCATTGTTAGCATTGCTTCTTTTGTTACATTGCACAGCTACATAATCCATTCAAGACTGGAGCAAAAATTTATGTCTGAAGTTGTTGCTGATGGTTAACGTTTTCTAGTCCATCTTTCTTCAGACCTTGTTTCCACTGGGACATTTCCCAACACAAGTTTCTTTGGTTCTCTGTAGATAGGTATTTTCAGCTCATAGAGTAGTAGGAATATTATTGTTTGTGGGGAACAATATGTATTGGGAGAATGATTTTTGCTACAACTATTAATTAATCTCTTAATTCTTAAATATATTGCCACTATTATTATTATTCTTTAACATTAAAAAAAATCTGTTTTACATCTTTGAATACACATACTGACATTTCTAGGCACAACACAAACAAAAATTCTCCATATTTTTTTACCCCATATTTTTAACACTTATAGCCTAGTATTATTAAAAATTAAAATAGAATAATTATTTTGGAAGGGGAAGTGGATAAGAAATTCCAATGGTTGAGTTTTTGAGGGCAAATTCAAGAATTTGTGCTCTTTTTAGCTGAAAGAGTAAAAGCAGAGATGCAGTGAATGTTGCAGCTATGGTTGGGAGAATGAGTCTGAGCCAGAGAAGTTCACAAAGGACTTGACTGTTGGGTGGTATCACAAAACTGAGGAGAATTGGCATTGCTTCTTGCTTTCTGATGCCTTTTTTTAGCTTATTGATCAAACACTATGCATTATCTATTGACAAGGGAAATGAATCCTTTTTGCTTCTCTTTGTGTGTTTTTGACTGTATAACACCTTCTCTGGTACATGTAGTCTCAATACCTGTGTATCAGCGTACACTATTTGTTCTGCCATAGGTTCATTTCCTTGCTCATTCTTGTCTATGTTAGCCTGGAAAGTAACATCTCCTTTTGTGTATTAGAAGGCTTACAACCTTCATTCTTTAAGAAAAGGTTTAATTTAAAGAACAGTGAACGAGCATGGGTAGACACACACCATAAACTTTGTTTAGCTGTGAAGTAGCTTCCTTGCTCCTCAGTCATTATTGGCATAACTCTTTTTCTAGTTTTAGTTATGTTGTTTTCCATTAGCTGAGGATCTACCCAGGAATGATTTGTCCTTGGCTGTATTTTCTTTCTTAGTGCTACATGTATTGTCCTTACTTAAGCAACTAAGGAAAACTGTAAATGCTTAACACATTCATTGAAAAGAGTGCTGAAGTGGCTTGTTTCTGACAGGCAAAATCCTTGATGAAGAGTATCTCAGGCATGAAGTATAATTGTTAGAAGCATGGAGAGGACTGGCTTTAAGGAAAAAAGAGGCCCTGTGAAGTACTGAAACTGAGAAATTCAAATCATAATGCTCATTTTAGAAACTGGAGGATACGTGTAGGCTCATTAGTACTACAGACTAATAAATAGTGCTTTCAACTTTTACACTTTTGAGATTGTTATGATGTAAGAGAATAGCCCGTGTTTTCACATTGTATTGTGTTTTTTTTGCAGGAGTCGGAGAGTAATAAGTTATGTTCCCTATATTCCTTCCGAAATACCTCTACCTCACCAAACAAGCCCGACGAAGGAAGTCGTGACCGCAGTGAGCTAATGACCAGTGTTAATTTTGGAACGCCAGAACGCCGCAAAGGAAGCCTTGCTGATGTGGTGGACACACTGAAGCAGAAGAAACTGGAAGAAATGACCAGGACTGAGCAAGAGGGTATGTGTTGGATAAGACTGATACAGTTTCCCCACCCGCAAACCCTATAATTTTATGGCATAAAGAATGTGTTGGGTATCAAGAGCCAGAAAATTGCATAATTGGCAAAAGCTGGGATAAAGTTATTCACAGGTTACCATGGCAATGGTAGTTTGAGATCCATTAGGGATTTTAGACAAATATGCCAGTTTTTTAACTTTCTAAATTGTGTTGGTTGTCGGTGAGTCAAAGCAAGAATGTCGGTTTAGGTGAAAACTCAACTCTTACTTGAAAGGTTATGGTGAATTCTTAACTGGTTGTAGACTTGTGAGGGATATTCTTCAGTGGTATTTGTTCTTTTTCTTTTAAAAGATAAATGTTTATTTTAGACAATAGGAATGAATAAAACATGAGCTGGTTTGTTTTGCCTTAGAAATTCTTGTCTTTCATCGTGTTAATGACCCAGTATCTGTGGCTAGGGGAATGGGAAACAGTTTTAAGTGTAAAAGGTACCTAGTTCTGACCTATATATCTAGAATTGCGGCTGAAGAAATCAATTTTTTTACAGTCTGCTCAGATATTGTTACAAGTGTTAAAAGAGAGAGATAAAAATGAGGACAAATCTTTGATCTCTAAGGCAGTTTATGTATTCAGTCCTTATTCAGATATTTTTGTCGACTTTGCTAAGATTTTGGCTTTGATAGGAACTGAACAGAATTGGAGAACACATTTATCAGTATACGTATGCACATGGTGAGGGTCCACCACGAAAATCTCTCCCCATGTCAAGTAGAATGAAGTCTTGGTTGCTTCTGCAACAGTACCTTCTAGTCTGTGAGCTCATACGTGAGTGTGAACCAGGGAAGATGTGAGAGCAGGAGGCTCTGAAATAGATAAACAGGTGTGGTTGCATCTGCGTGGGTTCTGTTAGTTATTTTACCAGTTTTGTAGCATTAAAAATAACCCAGGAAGAGTATTTGTAATGTAGTAGAACTTAGTGATCCTTTTTTTTTTTTTTTTTTTCTTTGAAATATGAATGAATTCGGAATGATTTTACCTTCTGTTTCATGCTATGGTCACAATGCACTTCAAACAGTGCACTTTAGGATGGCTTGGCTCTATGTAGCAATGTAGATTTCAATTAAAATCGATTCTGACACAATAATATGTTTAAATACAGGATAACATCATAAGGATGGAAGTAGACTTTCAAATTTCTTGGCATAATTGTTAAATGCCAGTACATAGATAAATGCGTTCTATAGGTGTCCTTTCTGAAGCTGGTGAAACATCTCTAAAGAGAGAATGTCCCAGATTCTTTACTACCATCTGTCTGTTTTCAGCTGTAAAGATCACTCTTTTAAAAATTGCTTTCTTAGATTTGGTGGTTAGACTAGGAAAACTATTTTAAATGTTACTTTGGCAAAGTTGTGTTTTACAGTCAGTAACAGTCGTTCGACACTCCATGCTAATCAAAGGTCTTGGCTCGTACTTTGCCGCAGGAGTATTCAAGTTGCTGTTGATTATAGTGACACCACAGCTAAGACTTTTCCAGGAGTATACTGAATGGTGTGCTAATAAAATTGTGCGTCAAAAAGTTTAAGCATAGTCTCTTACTGTAAGGATTCAGGCATTTCATAGCTTATTTTTGTATGAATTCTCAAGAATTTTTTGTACTTCCTATTAGTATACACTAATTGATTTGAGAGAGGTATGTGTGCAGCAGAGAGATTCCTCTCACTCAGTCTGAGCCTTCCATGCTGTGTGTTCTCATCAGCTGTGAAACAATGGTCGTTTCTGATCTATAAAATAATCTTGCCTTTTATGGACCACATTATACTGAAAACTAATCTAAAGTCTGCCTGTAAGTTCAAAGGTAGTTGATTGTATTTTCACGTTAAGTTCTTTTCAATTCGTCCAGCATTTTCTGTAGAAAAAAGGTCACTTCCATTTTACGGAAAATAATTTATGAACATCTGATTGGTACCATATAAACTAACATGAAAAAATCATTAATAGAAAGACTGGAAATTCTTCGGGATGTTACCCTTAGAATGTCCAATGGTTTTAAACTTCTGTGCAGACTAGCAATATCAAAATTGTTATAACAGATTTCAATACCTATATCGGAGGTTTCTCTGAATTAGACAGAAGTAAACTCTCCATACTTTTTTTATTGGAATAACATTTAAAAATGAATTTAAGATTTAATACTAATTTAATATTTTAAGACTCTGATCTTTATTGTGACTGTGGGTGCTGCAACTGATCCAGTGCAGAGTCAGTTGGAGGAATGAGGTCTGAGATTATGAAAATAAGTTACCAGTTTATTGTCTCTTTTAAACAACGTAATTAATAGCCTAATCACACATGTACTGTACATGATGCTCTTTAACATTTATCCTTTAAAACAGGTTTCTGTGGAGTTCTTTTCCTAAGGTGGTATGCAGCCAATGCTGTTGAGGAGACATTTGTGTAATAAGTCCTGTTCTGTCACAAAATTGCTTACCCAAATTGAAAAACACCTGCTGATTTTTTGAGCAAATAGAAAGGATAATATAATTGCTTTAATGAATGTAAGGGGGAAAAGACATTTATTTCTACTGTATACTGCTGTGTAATATCTGTGCGGTTTGAAACCTTGCATCATTCCTTTGAAGAAATTAATAGTACATGTTAGCATCTTTTATAGGGAAGAGCTCCATGACCGTTGATGTAGTTATGGGAATTGGGCTAACATACGGTCATATGTCAAGTTAATTGTAGAGTTAGAAGTGGAATAAAGAACTGAAGAATTCCAGTCATCTGCTCTAGCCCCCATGTGACTACAGCAACAAGTCTTTTTAAATGTTATTATAGTAGTTTCCTGGTCCATCGATGGGATCTGAGTTTGAGTAATATGAGTTGCTGGTGTCAAATACTTAAATATTTTGCAGTATACCTTCAGATATTGGGTGTCTATGTGCTCGTACATACTACTTGTGGTCTCCGTTGTAACTCATAACACCGTAAAAGAAATACATACCAAAAGACTTTATCGTGTCTAAATAGATATATTTAATCAGAGTCCTTTGGCTTCTGAAAATAAGTTGTCTAATGAGAATTTCATCTGAGCAGCTGTGACTGAGGAGGTCAACAGGCATTGCCTAAGAGAATATGGCCCAGCTGGTTAAATCTGGTTGTTGTAGTGATTTAAATGGTCAAGTGCTGCTTGTAATCCAGGACCGTCTGTTTGTA